TGTATAACACACATCAGAAAGTATTCCTCCTTTCTGTATTACAACAAGAGAGGATAATCAAAAGAACGGAAACGCAAATATGTGAACAAGAAAGGATGTCCAAGCATTATTGGCACAATGACAACATACTCGTTTCTCCCTCTCCCATTCTAGTATATTCACGCACATTCTTCTTTTCTTTCGTCCTACTCTCAAGAGTGATCATGTGTAATCTTTTTGTAGTACACTTGGCAAGTTTTCCCTACTTTCACCCAATTGTATATAAGTGTGCACCTTTTGAACGAAACAATAAATTAGTGAGTCTATAGGAAGCGAAAACATGCTTATTGAATGAGAATCGTTACCTATAGCAGCCACTAGTATCATACAATACTCTGCATCGTTTTAGTAGCGAATTTGTTTTTTAATTAGGGATGTAACTCGGCACTGCAATCAGGGGAGCATCGCTAATCGTGAGGAAAAGCAACCTATGGGCGGACCTCAGAATATGTACTGGGTGGGAATGTTGCATGGGCACATTATCGGAGACAAGGGGCGGAGCATTATACCTCATCCAGAACTTTCCTCCCCTCCGTCCCGCACTAGGCACGCTTTTTCTGCCCCGTTCGGTCGCCAACATAGTTATCATTGAACATTTCTTCGAAGATTCTCTTTTTCTGCCACTCGTCATATGAATTATATACAATTATACTGAATTGAGAAGCAAAGTGTAATCTGCAAAGACTCAAAAATGCTGTGTTCGAACTAACGGGTGGGCCAGAATAAATTGCACTGAATGTTTTTGCTTTTTTAGTTCATTTTCTGTTCAGGAATTTTATTTATTTTTACATTAAAAGATAGAGAATTTCAAGCTCTACAAAACTATCTACTTTATTTTGCGAATACATTTTTCTTGTCGGCGTCTAGTTAAAAAGATTTAGATCTACTCAATCATTCAACTTCGATGATAAAAAACGAAAAAGATGATGAAAGTTTTCTAAATAATGATTCAGGTAAAATTTGAACAATGCTACAAAAATGTCCGTACAATTGTGCATCTTTGATTGCATGCTTCAGAATTTTAGAGGAAATATTTGAGAGAAACAGGTTCGAAGGAAAATACGTGAAAACAAGAAAAAAGCCCTTTTCTGATATACCTGGGCTAGAGCTCTTTTTTTAGTTCGAGACAACCTAAGTTTTTTCACACTTCAATGTAACAATTATACCATTTTGTTCAGAATTGAATTCTACATCCGATGACATAATAATAATTATTTCATAGAGCAACTTTGGCTTTTGACAACATGGTTATCCAAAGCGCACCTCGAAATAACGACAGGTATCAGTTCCGAGCATTTTTCTCCTGAGCAACAGCACTAGGAACCTTGAAAAGGTCATGAAAGGATAGACCACAAAATTCTCTATCTATAGGTGTTAAATACTTTATATTTAGTATTGACCTTGATGAGCAAAACTTTGCACTGATCGATTAATATCAGCAGAAAACAGCAAACCGAAGTTGAATGATTGAGTAGATCTAAATCTTTTTAACTAGGCGCCGACAAGAAAAATGTATTTGAAAAACAAAGTAGATAGTTTTGTAGAGCTTGACATTCTCTATCTTTTAATATAAAATGAATATAATTCCTGAACAGGAAATGAACGAAAAAAGCAAAAACATTTGTTGCAATTTATTCTGGTCCACCTGTTACATTAGGAAATAGCGACAACATTCATTTGAAGGTCAGTGTATGAACGAAAACTATTAAAAAACAGTATTTTATGAAGAGACCAAATCATGAATATATGTTTGGAAGAGATTCTTGACAATAGATCACTGAGGAACTAAGTCAAAAGTCTCCCAGCTGTCAACGGTAGTTCGATTAGCGGCTAATTCGCTATTTCCGAAGTTGTCAGCACAGACGTATTTTCCATTAACTGCAATAAAAGCTACCTTTCCATTACCATGATCAACGATTCGAAAAGTTTCCCAAGAACTAATTGAAGTGCGATTGGCTATCAAAGAACTGTTTCCTGCATTTTCAGCGCAAACATATTGTCCATTGGCATGTGACTTGAGAGCAACATTATCTCCATTTAGAGTGATAAGATCGAATGTTTCCCAAGTAGATGGAGCATCACGATTAGCAATTAAGGGACTATTTCCAGCATTGTCGGCACATATAAACTTCCCGTTGGCATTTGAGCGAAGTGCAATAACTCTCTGAGTGATGTCTGGCGGCGGTCTTACAGTCGTACTACTCGAAATTTGATAGAAACGGATCCATTCGATCTCCATCTTTTTGGGAAAGATATTTTCATCGATACCTCGTTGTCCTCCCCTTTTGATAAAATGAATTCAGCATCTATCTTTCATAAAAAACTAAAAATAAAATGTTTTACCATGATCCACCAATGGCAATATTAAGAAGAATGAAAAAGTTCTTATCGAAAGGCCTGTAAGAATTCAGTAAACGAGCAAAATCGATTTTCTAAATGGTTCTTACCATCCTTCCCAACTATGTGTGCCCTTTTCCCAAATGAGAACTCGCTGTTCAAAAGGATTGCTTTCTCCGCCAACGAACATTTCAAGTTTATCAGCAGTCCAATCGAGAGTGTAGATTTTGAAATTGTCGCAGGCATCATGAACATGAACACTATTGGTGGGCTGTGAACCTCTCATATGATTAAATGCTGCCGTATGGACACTTGATACAATTTTATTCGGTTCGAAACCGACTTGCTCCATGATGTCGATTTCTCCATTATCTGGCCAATAGGCATTCCCATATGATTGTGTTTGCGGAAGCTACGAAACGTCAAAAAGGTGGATATTTGAACGAAAAAATACTTACCATCCAAATGGCTGGCCAAAGACCCTTGCCACTCGGTAATTTTGCTTTTGTCTAAAAAGGTATGATAAAAGAGAAACAACAAATGTCTAAACACACTTGAAGACGTCCATAAGTCCAAGCACTCTTTGACTTCAGTCGAGCTGATGTGAATCGACAACCTCCGTAATCTTCACGGCGTGCTTCGATTATCAGTCGCTGACCTTCACATCGGACGTTTTCAAGTCGATCTGTATAGTATTGTGCTTCTTGATTACCTGAAATTTTAGGATATTTGACGAACAGATAATTGTGAAGAATATATATCACCCCAGCCATTGTTTCCGGCACCAATATCAAAGTCCCATTTATTCCGATCAACAGAACCATCTTGCAAGAATATATCTTCCCAAATGAGACGATATTCGTCCATAGACATGCTTTTACAATCAATATGTGCTATCTACTAATCAAGTAAAATCTAAAAGAGAATATTAAATGAATAAGGCAGACGCTTTTCAAAAGGAGAAGGTAGTAGAAGGAGACCTTCACTCTGAAATATGAACAATTCAACGGAGAACATCAGTCATATGTTGAAAAAATGTCGACTGTACCCACTCACGTGTAGCTGTGCTCAAAATTGATCATATATCTGACACACGAATATTAAGGTATGCATCAATATAAATATTCTTGGTGTTAGTGTTGAAGGACTAATAAAGTACACTGTAAACAGTCGGTGTAGGAAAATAAGTCCTCAAATTGTATGTGTCTAGTTTCAAAATTGAAAGCTCTTTTGGATATATGAACTTCCATATACCATTTTGAAGTTTGCTAACATCGAAAACCTTTTCTTGAATGGTTTTCTATTCGATGGCTTTCTGTAAATTATACATTATTGAACCTATTCTAAAAGGGTTCTTTTGGTGTTAACAAACCATAAAAGACTATATGAAAGTTCATATACCACAAATAATTTTGATTTTGAAACTAGACACATACAATTTGAGGACTTATT